GGTGGGGGGGGGGGGGGCGGCGAGAGGGAGCGGGCAGCGGGGGGAATAAGCGGGGGGTGGGGGAAATGAACGGGAGAGGGGAATGAATGGAGAGTTGGGGAAATGAGCAGGGGCTGGGGCTAGAGCTGGTTGGGGCCTCCCCCATGGTCCCCTCCTCCAGCCCCCCAACCCCCTACTTACCTGGCAAGCTGGGTCCAGGTCCCTGCAGCTTGCACCACTGCCTGCCCCACACTGGCAGGCAGCATGCTTCAGCACCAGGGAAAGGGCCAAACACACAGATGCTCTGGGTGCTGACCAGAGCGTCTCTGTGGAGGACTGAGCCTCTGGTTGCCTCAGGGCATGGTCCAGGATCATGCCCTGCCCCACTTTTTTCCTCCGGGGTATTATTTGACCCCTGGATATCCAGGGGTCTAATTTTGCATTTTTTTTGTTCCCACACGTGCCTCTTGCAGCATCTCAAAGGGGTTTGAGACGCTGCAAGAGGCACATGTATGCTTGTCTGGACGCGCCCAAAGAGAAACCTTTGCATCAATAATGTGCTTCTGGAAGGAGGCATTAGTAATTGAGCAGTATAATAAAGGTATATCAGCTGCAGTCAGAATATGTTCTAGCAAAGTGTGAATTGCTGAACAATATTTCACCATTTCTTACTTTTATTTAACACCTATGAATCACAAAGAGCCAGACCAATAGCCAGTGTTTTGGGAAGAAAACAATCAATATGAGATACAGGTGAAGAAAGCAGACACCGGAAGTCCAGAAGTGAAGAATGAATTATACAGGTTCTCCCTAATAACAGCACTTGGCTGCAACTACCAGAATAGTTTTACTTGGTCTCCCCAACCTAAACCACACTTAATAATACAATTCCAGTACAATATTTGCTGAAAAATGGAGATTTTTAATAGTTTATAGCTAAGCTGAACCTGGATGGACTTTGTCAGTGTTGAATTTCAAAGGTCTGCATCATAAAACAAGAGCATCACACCATCTTCAGTAACAGCTGAAAAAAATCTGTTACAATGGAGAGTATTAGAAAACCTAGAGCAGCAGTGGATCCAGGTGTAGGGTGAGGGTGTAGTAAAACCCCCTATTTTTCTTTTTTAATTTATTTTAAAATGCATTCCCTCCCCTTCCCCAACCATTTCTGACTTTTTCTCTCCCTCTCTATTCCCTATAGATAAGTATAAGTAAGCTAAGATGTAGGATAAGCTTTAACATTTTATTTTAGGTAGTAAGCTTTATTTTTCTCTCCCCTCTTTGTAAATAAGTTACCTGCTATTTTGATATCGATACCCACTGTTTTATAAGTGATAATTATTATGTTTGTACTGATTTTATATTGTGTGATTACTGTTTTAGGCCTATATATGTAAGTTAACGTAAATCATGTCAAGTTTCCATTTCGTATGTCAAGCCTCCATCTTGTGTCCTCTGCCCAGGCATCCGCTGTGTTGCAATTGGATAATTCATGTACTTCTCCCATGTAAATTGGTTCCTGGATGAATGAGAGTGATTGGGAATGATTGAAATACAATGGTAGCAGGCCTCTACTTAGTGGCCTGTAATGACCAGGCCATCACCTCGCATTGATTCATCCAGGAACCACAGACCTCACCCGGGAACAGAGACAAGAACCCAGCATTTGAAAGACAAAAGACCCTGCAGAACCAGCAACTCTTCCATTGTACCCCACCATTACAGACACCTGAAACTGCACATCCCTGCATGGAGCACACATGCTCAGTACGCCAGGGGCTGGCCCTTGCCTGGGCATGCCTCAGCCTGGATAGGTAGCTATCACCCCCCCACCCCCTCTTCAACCAAGGACTTGGACTCTGCTTCTCTTCCCTACCTGGACTCCATCCCTTCCACTGAGTCTCTTTCTCCTGCTGCCATTGTGAGTGTGTGTGTGTGTGTGTGTGTGTGTGTGTGTGTGTGTGAACCAATAACTTCATGTGATTGTGTAGTGTGTTGTCTGTGTAAGAAAACTGTTATTTGGACCCCTAAATTCGGTTTTGCTTTACTATGGTTTGGCCCAGCTCCAATCTCTGCTCCTCACCCCTCTAACTTCTGTCTCATTTCTCCCTCTCCTGCTTCTGGCTCACTGCCACCTCCAACACCTGTCTTGAGCTCCTTTCTGCCTCCAAACCCCTGTTTCTTTGCCACTGTCTTATCCCCACTGCCTTTTCCTTTTCCCCTGAGCAACCAGGTTTCTGCCTCAGTTTCTTTCCTGGCCGCCTCCTCCTTGCCACCACTTATCTGCCCCTCCCCCCCCCAAAATCTCAGCTGTCTGCCTCAGTTTCCAGCCCCAGTCTACCTTAAGTAAACCCAAGTCTCAGGTCCTCAGCCAAATTCTCTGTAGTCCACTGGTTCTAATCCTGGTTCTGGCAACTTTCACTCCCTACACTTTAACTCTCTCTCTCTTACCTGAACCTTCCTCTAAGTATCCCAGGTACTCCAAGTACAAGCATACACACTGTACCATCCAAATTAGGAACTTACCTGTGTGTATGTGTAGGTGGGTTGTATGTGTGTGAACTGGTGGGTGTGTGTGTATATATTTGGGCAGGGGGCTGGACTCAATGATCTTCCGAGGTCCCTTCCAGCCCTAATGTCTATGAAATATATATATATATATATATAGCCTTGTGTGTGCATGATATATGTATTCGTGATCTGTGTCTAACTTCTGGGGTGTATAGTGTATGTGCTTGAATTGGTGATAGGTATGCATGTGCCTAGGCTGGTTTGGATGTGTATGGCCCTGAGTTGGTAGTGTGTGTGTGTGTATATGTGCAATTGTGTCACAGCCTCCTGTCTAAGAGTGCAATATTGAGATCCTGAGAGTTGGCCTGACCCCAGAGCAACAAGGGGGGGGGGGTGCAATCACCCCCACCTTTGGCTGTTTCATACATGCATAGTAAGCTTTGAGCCCATCGGTGTGGGCTCCTGCCAGACTTCCTTATGGGTAGTGAGGATTATGAGCTTGCCAGCAGGTCCATGCAGGCTCTCTCTGGAGCCTCCATTTTTGCTGTGACTTCAAAGCCCAGAGGGTGAGTGCCACTGCTGCTCATCCCCTTTTTTCCCTGATGCTGAATTCAGTGGGAAGGGGATGGGGTGAGGGGGGAGGAGGAGGAGGAAGGTGGGACAGACAAACAGTGACAGCACTCACCCCCTGGGCTCTGAAGCCCTGCAAAAGTGGTGGCTCTGACCAGAGCTCACACCAATCAGCTGGTGAGGTCAGAGCTCACTGTGCATGTTCAGCACAACCAAATGGGGGTATGGCTGCACTGATTTATCCCCCACCCCTGGAGCTGCCATTTGTAGTAATAAGGGTTAACTTCCTTACTGAAGAGTGATGTCATCCATAGGAAGTGATGGGCCAACCATTTTGGGTCAGCAGTTAGTTCATAGATTTCATAGACACTAGGGCTGGAAGGGACCTCGGAAGATCATCAAGTCCAGCCCCCTGCCCCAGGGGCAGGAAGTCAGCTGGGGTCATAGGATCCCAGTAACAAAAACATCCAGGTTTCTTTTGAAGGCGTTCAAAGTAGGTGCTTGAACCACCTCCGGCTGCAGGCCATTCCAGACCTTGTTCAGGCTCAGACAGTTGTTACAATAAAGGCTTAATGAGAGCAAGGAGTCTCCCTGCCTTTTCCTAAGATCCACACCGTTGTGAAGGAGCTATCAACTCACCTATGATGATATGGTATCTGCAATGGAATTTAACATTACCACTTGCTGTGGAGCATTCATTCATTAATAACTGTACTGGCCATATTGTTTAGGCACAAGAGTGTCAATTTAAGAGCACTGTTGGAGATTTTGCTGTTGAAGTTTTTTCAAAAGAACACTTGTCAAAGTTTTAAGAATTAAAATTTGTCCTCTGCTTTTTTACTACAGATTAATATGCTACGTGGGACCCATCTGGATTGCCAAAGTTGACTCTATTTTACATCAATCATTGTTATTTTAAAAAGCAAGCAACCAAACAGTGGTATCCCAAAATCTTTATTAGAAAACACCAACAATCACCCCCCCAACTGTCATATTAGGACGTACAGCCACCAATGCATTGACAGTAAATCACCCTGAAAACTGCACAGCAGGTTTTGCAGTTAAATCCACAATTTACACAAGCAAACTTCTAGTGCTAGAGGAAGGCCACTATTAAACTAAATCAAACCTAGACAATGTCCCTTTAATTAAAATAACATGTGTAACATCGCATGTGCAAAATGCTTTACAAAAACATATTTGTATATATGTAAAGTTTAGTATAGATGTAAAGTATATGTGAGCTGAACATCCAGGCATGTGTACTTGTTAAATTACTTTTTCATAAGAAGCTCTTATTATTAATAATAATTCTGTTGACTTTTTTTTTTAATTCCTACTGCTTTTCACAGCAGTGACATTTCCCTTTTAATTATCAGAAAATCAAATAGAATTCAGTAAATCTCAGTTTAGAAGGCAGCAGTCAACACTTGAATACACCTTAGCATGTGCTTAACTTTATGTGTCTGCTGAAGAGCTAGCAGATAATGAGGATGAGGAGGGCGGGTGCAGTTGCACCCCACTCTGACTCCTGCTCCACCCAAGCAAAAACCAACTACACAGGAGGGGCAGCAACATTTCTATTCAGATAGTGCTGAGAGAGTCAATTGACTTCATGGGTTATTATCATCTCCCTAATTCCCATTAATTTCTCTCCACTCCACAGGTGTTAACAACCCTCTCTCCTTTTTAAATGGTCTTGATGGTTCACTATTCAAACCATTCTCTCTTTTGTTAGCTCTTCCTGCTAATGTCCCCCTCCTATTTTACAGCCCTGCAGACTGTTTTTAGCTCTAGCTAAAAACCTTAACTTAGGTGTGTGGTAATATTAAGTCAGGCATAGAAATGACTGACATTGAAATACTGGAGGCACTGTCAAGACACTCAAGAAGGGCAGAGTTTGTCTGATTAATCTAGTGGACTAATGATATAATATCCTTTGAATTTATTGCCTAGTTTGTTGTGCTTTCTACAACTTCATATATACTCTATCACATTGGTGCTCAACCTTTTTCCCTAGTGGGCTGGATGGTCGTTCTGATCCAGCACCTGGGGCTGGTGCAGTGGGCACTATCTGGCCACATGGAGACAGTAGGGAGGCAGCCCAGCCTCAGCCCAGCCCCACAAGTGTGGGAAGGAGGCCACATGGGGGTGTGGGAGACAGAGGAGGGGGAGGGGAAGGGGAAGGGGAAGGATGTGACCTGGCCAGGAGGGTGAAGGGGGCATGGCTCAGCCTTGCAGGGAGAAAGGGGCTTGACCCAGCTCTGCAAGTAGGGAAGGGGGCATGACCCAGCCCCAACTCAGCCCCACTGGGGAAAAGGGGGCATATCTCTGTCCTGCAGAGGTAAGGGAGTGTGGCCCAGTTGCAATGTGGCCCCATCAGGGGCAGATTAATGCATGGGCCTTTGGGATCTGGGCCCAGGGGCCCCTACCAATCAGGGTCCCCCTGGGATGCCAGGGGCAGCACGACCTGGGTGGGCATCCTGGCTGTGGGCATCTGGGACAGGCAGCGCGCACCTCCTCCCCTTCAGCCAGGCCAGAGCCAGGGGCTGGGGGCAGGCACAGGGCTCCCTGCAGGCAGTGGTGATATCCCAGGGCTGTCTACTGCCAGGAGGCCCCATGCGTGTCCCTGTTCCTGCTCCTTGCCATCTGCAGGTGGCCACTGGCACCAGCGTCACTGGGACAGCACTGGGCAGCTCAATCCTGCCCTGCCTTGCCCAGGCCAGCAGAGGGGCAGGTGGGCAGCTAGGGGCAGAGCTCATGCCTCTCCCCCACAAGCTGGCGCCATCCCCAGCCCATCCCATGGCACTGGCGGGGGGCACAGCCCCTGCTGTGGACACCTGCTTTTCAGAGGGGCTGGACTGGGGCTGGGGCCACCTTCACCTCTGTGGTACTCATGCCACCTGGCTTGTCCCGGATGCACTAAAGAGGCTGGGAGGGCCGAGCTGCAGCCCCCTGGCAGGCACAGTGGGAACCTGTCCTCACCTGGTGGGGGTCTTCAATTTTCTTTTTGCCTAGGGCCCCAATAAATGTTAATCTGCCACTAGGCCCCATGGGTGGAAAGGGGTATGGCTTGGCTCAGACCAGGCTCATGGGGCTTGGGGTTTGGGAGTTTAGCAGGGGCGGTGGCTGCATTAATAGCCACTGCTCCTCCACCACCAAATTTGCCAACCCCTGGGAAGCCCTGTGGGCCAGATGCAATGGCTCCCTAAGTTGCATTTGGCCCGGGAGTCAGGTTGAACACCCCTGCTCTAGCAAACATTTCAATAGTTACATATTTTTGCTTTGATCTTAAACTGAATAATATATTGCTAACCTCCTACCACATTAGTAAAGAGTTTACTTTCTTTTTACCTGGAGAAAAAATTGTGTTCTGCTGTATGTGATGATGTCCCACACCCCGTGCACCCATCCCCCTTTTCAAAATCCTAGATCCACCCATATTAAGGGCTTTCTTGAATTGGGGCCTGAGTGTTTTCTCTTTGGTACAATGTTAACTGTTATGAATGAAGGTCCCAGGGTCAGGTCTTTTTCAATCCTTTTGTACATGATATTGCTTACATAACACAGCTACTTTTATAGTCAAAGTCACAGGAAACCCGCCCCCCAAAACCATAGAATGGAAATAATGCTGTCATTGACAGCTCAACTCACAAAAACTAGAAATAGAATATATATACACAATCAACACATCTTCTCCAAAGCAGTACCCAGAAACAGAATCCTGGGGATACTTTGATCTTTATTTATGTGTTCTTGCATTTAACAAAAGTTCCATCATTTACAGATAATCTTTAATTGCAATTAATTGATATAACTCTTAGTATTGCCTACCCACTATATACAGTTACATTAAATAATGAAGTTTGATTGGATTCTTCTTTCAGGTAAATTTATGTTGCTATCTTTTAATAAAGCTTTAGAGTGCACTTTGAAATATAAAGGATTATCATATTTACCCAAATCAGGCCAATCTGCTTAACTTCTTTCCAAGCAATACAAAGAATTGACTCATTCTCTCATAATAAATTAAAAGGCATTTACATTGACATAGGTTGTAATACTTGTTGAAAATGTTTTCGAGATAATATAGATCTTAGAATACACAGCACATGCGAGTATAGGAAAAAGGGGGATTAAAACATGGTTAGTGTTATTAGCTAAAAGTACTTTCTACCTATATAAAAAGACGATGATCCTTGCCCTGAGTACAGGGTCCGTATAAACAGCTTGCCAAAAGATTCTTCTCCAAGCCAACCTCTGTTGGTGTTGAGAAATCTTCTATGGAATAACAGGCAATCTCTGCCTGTGGGTATTTAATGCTCAGTCCAATTTAGGCTTTTCTTTTCCTTCTTCCGTACCTGGAAACATACAGAGAACTTTTTATAATACCTGACTGAACAAACATTGATCGTTGACTTAGAGACGTTCTAATACATTAATTCTGCTTTTTTCTTTTGTTGCTGTTGCTTTCCTCTGTTTGTTAGCAACATCCGTCAGATTTTACTTAACCTGCTGAGAAGGAAAAGAACATCTGCACACCTGATATCAGTGTTTGTCTGCTAATGAAGTACATAACCCTTTCTCTCCCAGGACCCTTTTTAGAATTGCAGTATGAAACCCCTGTGGCACAGTCTGCCTCTGACTACTTCAGGGGAGCGAGGATAACTATCACCTTGAGCTCCCACTGCTTATATATAAACAAAATAGAGTGGATTCTATTATGGCTACCAGTAGCTGAAGCTAAACGGTTACCTTTAAAAAAAAATAGATTTGCAAAACCATAATTGTCTTCAATTCAATAAGCTTTTTTCCTCTCCAGTCTCAGATTTTTAAAAACTCTGTAAGCAGAACTCTCTTTCCCGAAAGCACACAAAGAATCAATTATTGCTAAGAGTTTCTTCCGCCCTTCTCTTTAATGCCCCTTCCTTTCAGTGACAGGTAGCAGGAATATACAGTATATCCTCTTAAGACCTGCCTGTGCAGCAGAACTCCTCTCCCTCTTGTCTGTGCTGAAAGGAGGCTGGGATGGGCAAAAGGGTGTATGTATTCTTCTGGAGATAAAAACATCCATCTCTTTCAGGTGCATGTTCCTGGGCAATGATTTGTCATTAGATTCTGGCCAAAGTGGTATTCTTTTGTTCATTTTGTTTCTTTTAAGCAAAGCTCCCTGCCAAACATCTCAACATAGTATAAAAATGTTTCTTTTGGATGCTTGCAGGACTGTTGTAGATTGCAAAAGAAAAATATCTCAGGACTTATGGAGAAAGGGAAGTAATTTTTGAAAGCAAAAGGAAAAGGACACCTGACCATAAATCATATTACAGTAAAATCTCTATTATCTGGCATCCCTGAGGTAAGGGGATTGCCGCTTATGGAAAAATTCTGGTTATCTGAAACCCCCTGGCAGGGCTTTCCAGATAATGTGGAGTGGGTGGAGGGTTGGCGGCCGCATGAGGAGTGTGTGTGTGTGGGTGGGGAGTTGAGGCTGTCTGCAGAGTGGCAGCAGTACAGGGTGGTGCGTGGCAGCCACCTCCGCATGCAAAGTTCCCCCCTCCCCCTGTGTCTGGCCGGCCCGTTAATGGAAATTTCATTTAATGGAATTTCTGGTTAGTTAAATGCTGGATAGTGGAGATTTTACTGTACCTGCTAATGGAATACATGCATGAATGGTAGTTCTTTCCATGGGCCATTTTGTAAATGTATCACATTGCTTGCAAGATGGGGATAACAGAAAGGCATCTGCAGAGGTGACTTTACTGAAATAAACAGGGATCCAGGTTTTCCGTTCACCATGGTAAAATGTGGTAACATGCAGATTTTCTCATTTTAAGGAGAAAAACCTGGATTATCTCCTTTAAAGAAGAAAAACATAGGAAATGGTGGGTTCCAGCCTGAAAGGGGCTGGGGGGAGCAGGGGGTGGAAGGCAGCTGGACCCACTTGCTGGTGAGTGAAAGGGGCAGGGGTAGCTCTGATTTTCCAGGACAAAAAAAACCCCAAAATCAAATGCCCAAATGTATAGGTATTTATAATTTATTATAATGATAGAGAAACTGGTAGGCTTCCAAATTGCTTTAAAATGCTAAATATATCAATAAAACATTGTGTTCAACTGTTACCTATACATATATATGCACACACACACACACATATATGCACACACACACACACAGAGTAAAAGCCACATTATCCGGTAGTTTATAAACCAGTATGCTTCATTAACCGGCATGCCAGTCGATGCGGCAAAAACAAACCAGCACTTCTGGTTTCGCTCCCATGGCCTGGGGCAAAGCAGCCTGCGTGGGGGCCCCCTTCCCTGTCCCCTGGCACACCGATGCTAGGGAGGGGCAGTGGCACGCTGGACGCTGCCGTATTTGGTTATCTGGCACCCCCCATTCCCCATGGGTGCCGATAACAGTTTTTGCTCTGTGTGTGTGTGTGTGTGTGTGTGTGTATAGTGGTGTTTCATTTTAATCATGGATAAATGCAGTTCTTGGCGGTTTTAATCAGAGAATTTGCAATCCTCAATCAGAGAATCTGCTATTTTTAAGCAGAGAAAACCAGGATCCCTGGCAATAAGCAGTAAGTAAACAAATGGATTGAACGTTCCCAGCAATCTAAACACAATAGGGTGGGTTATGTTGGCAAACCAAAAATAATAGGAGAGCCATAGTCAAAGGTTTTAAAACCAAAACAATGGGTTGGCTCCAAAAGAGTACAATTGGCTTAAGAGCCTGCTTTGGAGCCAATCTGGGGTCCCTTGTGTCTTTTGCTGTGAGGAACTTTTCCAGTGGTTTTAAGTAAAATGCTTTATTTTTCTTTTTAAAAGAGCCTCTTTCCTTTCTTCTGAAATATTCTGCTGCAGATGTATCAAACAGTTTGGCATAAAAGTTGGTATCTTCAGGACTGTGGGTAGGCACTGGCCTGTAGAAAGGGCAAATTTTTCCTTGCCTACCATGTTTGTGGTTTAACTTGGAAAAACTAACTACAAATCATTTTGTCAGTAGTGAGGTTTCACTTAATGCACCTCCGGAGGAAAAGGAAAATAAAAAAAAATTGAAACCTTCTCAAGTCAGATTGTTTTAATTTTAAAGTTTGAGAGCTCAAAAACCCCCTTTTAAATATATGGTTTCCAAATATTTTTTTTCCAAACCTTACATGGTGAGCGATCACCATGATTTTATTTTTCTGCTGCTTGCGGTGGGCTAACCATTCACTTTCACTTACATTTATGTACAGCCCTTTAAACATGGCCATACAACAGGTGACTCATGGCATTTGTAGGCTGGCAAGTGGTTGCTCCACAAAGGAATTTGGATCAATGTCGCTTAATCACACAGAAGTCAGATCAGAGAGGAGCTTATGGCCTGGGTATTATAGAATTATAGAAAATTATGATTATGGCTAGAACAACCTCTGTTCTCTTGCAGCAGAGAAACAAAGCAGCCAGAGATTCTATTATATATGCTGTGGAAGGCTGGTGGAGATGTTCTTTTAGCTACTTATTCATGAAGTTAACAAGAACACATGCTTCATCATCACATGATTATATTTTATATTACCTGGGACTTGTATAAAGTGAACCCTTCTTCCTCGTGGCAAGCTTGTTCTTTAAAGCATCTTTCCTGCACTACTGGAAGATGAGGCAAATGCCAAGAAGTCTGTGTAGTTGATATCTATGAAGGGATTGGGTTGAGAAAATAGGTGCCTGATACCCAGACTCTAACAATGGATAAGCAGCAGATGGAGCCCACACAGGAACAGTTTTGAACCTCTTGTTTCAACATTGTACCTGGAGTTTAATTCTTCATATTGTATTTTATGTAGAGAATTACAGCATTGTAGCTACTTTACTCTGACTTACTGAAGGGGAGTAAACCATGAGGATGAGTTAAGCAGGATGTATTTTTAAGTTTTTCCTTACTACTACAGTGATTAGTAGTTTGAGTGAAGTAGATTGATATTATTTGTGCAGAATTAATCAACAGCAAGTTTATCTGTTATACCTTTTATATGGCCTGTTTAATATGGATATGCTTAATTTCTTTGAGTAAATTGATTTATAAACAGAAGAAACATTATGCCTGAAAGTATTTTTAATAAGCACATCTCCCTAATCCTAAGCATATCAGTACAATCATTTCCACAAAATAGCACTTTCTTCTAGCTTGATTTAACTGGTTCATCAGCTAATAAAACCAAGTGGGTTGTAAACCTTTCAGGTAATTGCCAGCAGCTCTTAAATTAGTATTAGATGTTATAAAAATGAATACATATTCATAGCTAATCATGTTCTCTGGCAAGCATTTCATTCATTTGCCTATTTTTAAGAGAAAAAAGAAAAAAGTTACAATGACATTTTCTCATTTCCCTTTTCGGTTTTCTAAAATTCCCATTGACTTCAATGGGATGGGTTCTAGACCCTAAAGAGTAATTCCATCATTTAGTATTCCCCAAAATAATAAATACTTACATTTTTGTGTATCCCAGATGTAATTATTCAGAACCTCTCCCAGCAAGTAGAACACATTAATGATTATGGTGACAGTTGCAAAGAAGATGATTTTGGCACCTGGGCTTATGTATTCCAAGAGAGGGTACACCCAGACTCCTGTTACATGATGAATCCAGCACACCCTAAAATGAAATCAAAAGGAGACAAAAGCAGATATTGTCTTTATGCTGTTTTTGAAAGTAGTTTGAGTTAGAGCATTTATTGACTCCAGCTTATCAATCAGACATGTAGTCTAAAGAACTGGAGGTTGCAATCACATTTTGATCCTCAGGATCACCTTCTAAAACAGGGGTGACAAGAGGAAGAAACAAAACTAGATTTACTGGAATGCTGTTCCCCCTTTTGACCTGAGCCAATTTTCAGATTTTATGGGTTGTTTCAGCGAGAAGGAGAAACTGACAACAGAGTCAGGTATTTCTTTGATGCGGTCCTGTTGGGTTATATAAAGAATGTACAAAGTCCTAAATCACTGAACATAGCAGACAGCTAGGGATAGTATCTTTGCTCCCAATTTTAAACCTCTTTCGTCCAATATTTCATTCAAAGTGTCTTGGTTTTCTTCTCATGGCCTTGTTACTGGGACTCTCTGCATCTGGGGCTTCTTCATTTCTGCTCTGTTTCATTTGGTATGTTTCCACTGCTTCTGTCTCACACAATGTTCCACTAATCAGTGTTTTCTACTAGCCCTGCATTTAGTTTATCACTCTCCAATATCACTCTTCTTTGGCCACATAGGGCACCGATAGTGATGGTTTGTTGTACGATCGGGCGTTCTATAGCCATGCACTGCCAGACGTGCACAACTGCAAAATGCTTTAAAAATGCCTGATCGCATGACAATCTGAACCGCCATTACATGACGGTTCAAATGAAGGCACTCCAAAGCGAAGTGCTTTCAATAAGTCTCAGTGCATGCCGGGAGCAGGTCTGGACTGAAGTGGCGCTGGGACTTACATCTGGGGCTTGCCCAGCCTGTGCTGGAGGGTAGGGTGAGTGAATTGGATCCCCTCAAGATGGCTCCCCCCATCTTGGGGGATCCTGCAAACTGCCATGAGTTACAGCAGGGAGTTGCATATCTGCCAGTGCCCATAGTTCAGCTTCCATAGGTGCATGTGTTGTAGGTGGTGATTCCTACTGCTTCAGCTCCCCTGTTCCAAGAAGGAGCTTGATTGTTTCTTACATTTATCCTGCTTGAAGGGTAATGATTATGTCTATCAAAGTAAATCAAACTTTGTGCAGCCCCACAATATGGTGCATATAAATGGAACCCAAACAGAGGAGGAAATGTTGGAGGCACTCTCAAATTTCCAGCACTCACTGGCAGCTCAAGTTGCTGGTGTCTTGATCATGCCAAGCTCAACAGTCTCCAAAAAGCATTTTGAGTACATTTTCCTCTGTGCAAAATTTCTTGGTGATGTGTGCTGGTGGATGTTGATCTGCGGGCGTGTTTACATGTGCACAGTAGCTTCACAGTACGGGTGCACGTCTACATGTGTGCGCCTAAACTGAACAGTAATTATGGTGACATGCCAACTTGGGTGTAAATTTACTCCCTGCATCATGCTCCCTGAATCATGCAGGGAGCAAATTTACACCTGCTTAGTTACTGTGCAGTAAGGCACATGTAGATGCCTTACTGCGCAGTAATACTGTGTGTGTGGACTGACTTAGGAGTAACTTTACTCCCAAGTTGGAGCACACACAGTGTTACTGTGCTGTAACATCTACACATGTAGACACCGATCTAAAAACTGCTTACTGCACAGTAACTTGCTGCACAGTAAGTTCATGAGCAGTTAATGCATGTGTAGACACACCCTGTATTCCCTAAATAAGGAGTCTACATTGGCTTTCTGAGATGGTAAGTGTAATGTCAGAAAAGAGTTGAAAAGGTCAGCATACTCTT